CACGCCAAAAGGAGGCATGGGGTAAATAGAACAGCGCGCAGGGGGGGGATGATCAGCTGTGGCGTGCAATCTTTTTTTTTTTTACTTTGAAAAGCATTTTTTCTACAACCTATTCGGGTGAATAGGTTGTAAGAAAATGCTTTTAAAAGTAAAAAAAAGGGTCTGATGATCGCGCATCTCAACTGTGATTGTCAGAGCCTTTTTTTTTTACTTTTAAAAGCAAAAAAGCAAAACCTTCTGCACATGCGCAGAGAGTACAAAACACATAACTTCCTTGTTAAAACCAGGAAGTAACGACAACCAGGTGGGTGGGTGAAGCCTCATGCTGCAATCGCTATTGGTTCTCCAAATCATCCGCCACAATCACTACCGGATCGGGCGATCTGGTCCGAAGCGGGAGCATTTCACCCCTGCTTGAGACCCTGGTGATTATTGATTTGTTTTACAATCATTCAGTCATTTCCAACTCTTTGTGATCGAGTTCTCAGGAATGTCTTCTGCTAACTGTTTCTTTAAGTTCTTGTAAGCAAAACTTATGCTATTAGTATTCAGCTGTTTTGACTTTTAACAGTCACTTTTCTATTGCCTCCTTCCATTTTTTCAAGTACCATTATTGTCGCCTATGTCTTTTGTCTGCCCATTATAAGCTCAAAATATTTAAATTTTAGCTTCATTCTTAGTACTTCCAGGGAATGGTCTGGTTTTACTTCATCCAATTTGTTTTTTTTTCCTGTCCAAGATGCTCTTAACAATATTATTGAGCACCATAGTTCAAGGACATTATTTTTTCTTGGTTCAGGTTTCAAATTCCACAGCTATATATTATAACTGGAGGAATACAGCCTAGAGTATGTTGTGGCGCGGGAATAACGAGAGGCACAAGCAAGCTAGTGACAACAGCTCTTTAATTCAGGGTGAGACTTCAGCAAAGCAACACAGGCAACAGCCCTCTTTATATACTTTTCAGGGGCAACCATTAACCAATCACAATTCACAGAACATTTGAATTTCCCGCACAAAATAGATACATACATAACAGAGTATATGTAGTTTTATTGTCAGTATGGCATCTAATATTGGTAATCTTTTATCTAGAGTTGCCTTTCTCTCAAGAGGAGACGCCTCTTTATTTCAAGGCTACAGTCACTATCCCTTTGGATTTTATTTTATTTTTTAGCTCAGGGAAAATAAAATCTGTTACTATTTCTTCACCTCTTTGTATTTGGTTGGCATCAGCACTTAACATAACCTAGAGAGCCATGTTAAATTAAATGGTGACAATTAGGGGACTTCTAGCTTACAGTTATGCTACTGATTTTGCTTAACTAGCTTCTCAGAGTTTTTGGAAACGGAATGGCATAAATAAATAAATCAAGATACATAAATAACATCAAGTTGCGTAAGCATTTATGCCATTTCTGAGTCCGATTCGCTAATTTTTAAAAATATAGCAAAAGGATTGTGAGACAAGGCCTTTTCTGTTGTGGTATCCCACAGCTGAAATAGCTTCCCAGTGAAGATATCCTTAATTTTATGAGTGCTCACTTTTCAATGAACTGGAATGAAAATTTAATTTTGGTGGGTTTTCCTCAGCTATCTATCTAAATAAGGCTTTGACTATAGTGACAATTCAATATGGCTGAACAGCAGCAGGTTGGAGGAGACAGTTGAACTACTTTAAATGAATAATCAAGTTTTGTGCTAAACACATGCACACACATGCACACACACATATCTTGGGCTTACTCACTGGTTTCACTCACATAGCAACTATAGACTCAATTTTCAGAGTCTTTAGTGCTGACAAAACCACAGTGATCTATCTTATCGATAATCCAAGCAAAATGGGGAAGAATAGCCTTGGGTGAAGTGCAATGCTTTTGCCAAATTGGGTCTCTCTCTCTCTGTGTGTCTCTGTGTCTATCTCTCTCTCTCTCTCTCTCTCTCTCACACACACACACACACACACAAACATATACACATATAGGCCTATAGGGCTAAAAACACAGGCAGTTACAATTATTTATACTGCCTTCACACAAAACTGGTAATTATGTGGGAACAGCATAGGAACAACACTTACTGCATCTTCCCAGAAACCACAGTTCATATGTGCAATACTTCCTCTCACCATTAAATGAGCCTCCCAAATATTTCTGAGGGAGGAGATTTGTTCAAGTTGTCCAGAATTACTCCTAGGTAAGAGTCATGGGACTGGAATTTTGCTAGAGGACTGAACCCTGTGTTACTTAAGAAGGCATGATGGCACATGCCCTCATCTAATTGTGCCTGCCAATTTAATAGGAAACATGGCAGCAACTGCTGTTTTACAGCAACAGCAAACATTCCATGAAACTCTGCCAAATAAGAAAGTAATTCTTAAAAGGCTTTGGCACTATAAGACCTTCCAAGGAAACAGATGCATGTAATAAAACTCTCAATTGTTCAATTTCTGTATTGCAGAGTTTTATAACAGTCCAGTATGAAATGCTAAAAAAAAATAAATCCCTCGGTATGAAAGACCCCTTTAGACAATAGCAAAGCTAAGCACTGCAGCAGTTGACAATTTTAACATCATTTTTGGAAGAAGAAAAAAGAAAAGAAAAGAAAAGGTACATTTACCCTTAAAACATAGAAAGGGACAACTTGTGTGTGTGTGTGTGTGTGTGTGTGTGTGTGTTACAAAAGAGAAACAACCTGAATGTAGGCTTAGATCCAGGTAGCATTAAACATTAGCACATGAAAATTAGGGTGGAAAAAAATCTGGCTCACAGTGACTCAGTATTTGGGAGCAAAACGGGATAAAGTAAAATTAATCAAATATAAGTACAGTACAGTCTGCTAAATCAGTCTCTGAAATTTTTCAGCCCCAAGGGGCAGATCTCAAGCTGGAAAAATGTTAGGAGGCTGGGAAAAGAGATTTTAGTATTTCCCTGATATAAATTGCATACTTTGCTTCTTGTTGCTAAAATAACATAAATCCATTTGGCTGTCAGTAAATGAATCAAGTAGCACTACAGCTGGCTTATGATCAACTACAAAGGCAAACTGGAGCTTTAACTTGGCTGAAGGGTTTGCTTCTTAGTTGCAGAATTAAGATTTATATCCTTTCCCATTGTTTCAGCAGAATAAACATTTGAATTTTTAAACAGTAGTGCTCCAATAATATGGATGCAATGGAAGAAGTTTGCTACTCTGCCTGGCAAACTCATCCATTTTGGCATCTTAGCCATTCTTGAGAAGTTTGTTTTCTAGAGAATATCCTGGAGTTTTCAGCATTCCCCTGGCTTTTTGCTTTCATTGCAAGAATGGTACAGCAATCATTCTGTTGATCCTTCTTTACACTCGTAACCATGGATGTTACACAAGAATTCCCAGAACCTGCAAATTTTGGTATCTGTGACAAATCTTACATGCTAGAGTATTACTTATGTGAGCATGTAGCCATCGGCAAAGGCCCGTTCATCTACAGGAAGCTTTTTTGCTTCACCGGTAAGCACAATTCAAGTCTTGGGATGATGCTGGATCAGGAGTAGCGTCTGTTCAATTCTATTTTCACTAGATACATCATGTTAGAATTCAAAAATAGCGAGGGCATTGCCTTAAATGGGCCTCAGACATCCAAGGGTGCTTTATGAGTAGCTGGGAACTAGAATTAGGAAAATATTTATTTATCATGTAGAAAATACTGCCTTCTCCACTTCATCAAAAGCTGCATAGGGCTTTATCCCCTATTGCCTTTGGCTGCCTGCATCTCTAGCAAATACAGCAGCAGTTATCACCTGACCTATATGGTGATATCCACTTCAGTGCTGTGATTTCCTGTTTCCTTCTGAAGCCCTGTATGTTCTGTGTTGCTTCAAAAGTTCAGCAACATGCAGAAACGTTTGCAATGTAAGTCCATTGGAAAAGAGAAAGGCATCAACTCTTTAGAAGAAAACCGAGGCAAAGGGGTTCATTTCTGCAACCCTGGGGGGAAAAGTCCATCCATGACATAGTGAGGCCCATTTGATCATAATTGCCAGCCCTCCCCATATAATAATACAGAACATTTGACTTATTGGAACATATGGAAAAACAACTTCTGTGGCATTTAAAGATCCTCTTGACCATTCTCCTGAGCCTGATAGGCTCAGGAGTCCTTTATCAGGAATAGGACTTTAGCCTATCCCTGATAAATAAATGAAAAAAAAAATGATTCCTTTAAATAATACTTTCTAAGTGAAAAATAAGTGGCTTGAATATACTGACTACATATTGACTATAATCTTTGGGCCTCCTGATACATGATTCATTGTTCAGCTGCTCAAACTCCCAGCTCTAAAAGCTGTAGCTCAGTAGGGAACTTCTTGTTTGCAGGTAGAAGGTGCTCATGTCATGAGGTCTTCCATGTCCAAAACCTTCAGGGACTCTCCCAGGCAAGACACAGAGTGCCAGACTAGAGGGACCGATGTCTGGCGTGTGACAACTTTTGAAAGTGTAGAATAGAAACTGTGGAATAAAATAACTGCGTTTCCAGATGTCTAGCAAAGCCTCCAGACTCTGTATCAAAATGCTTCTTTTAAATTGTGTCCCATCCCATCCCAAGTGAAATTGAAGCCAGTGCTCTGAAGCAGTCTACTTTCCACCTTGCCTGATCTTCCTCGGCCTTGGGGGAGTGGGACCAGTTGGGAGATGGTCCTTCCCCTGCCCAATGCAGAAGGGCATTCATCCATTCTGAGCAAACCCCTTCCAACAACTCTGCTCAGATCCTGGGTGTGGACTAAGTGAGTCCTTTTGCGTCTTATCGGAATTGAAGTTACAACAGACGTGCCTCCCCTCTGTCTTTGGCAAACGAACGTTCCATCCCCAAAGGGAAGCGACTTGTGGTTTCATGAGGCAACTGGCAAGATGACATTGACAGTGGCAAAAGTCCAACTCCTGATAAGGATTTCAGCAGCAGCAAGACACTCTTGGAAGGATTGCAGCATCTCTGCTCTCGGGGAGTGGAGCCCAAAACCTGTCCCCGCTCCCCCCCCCCTTGTGCTTGCTCTTTCATTCGTTCCAAAGCAAGCCTGCTTCATTGTGGGGAAAGAGTGAGGGAGCTGCAGCTCAGTTCAGCAGACCGATCTGGAGATATATTTTTTTTCTCCAGCACATGCAAGCTGACTGCCAAACCTGAATTGCCAGCAGGGAAAGGGACTAAGCAACTGCTTTAAGTTTCAGCCTGTCTGTGGTGCAGGTTTTTCAAGTCACACACACACCTGCCTGTCACACACACACTTTCTCTCTCTCTTCCCTCTCCCTCCCTCTCTTTCTCTCCCTCATTCATACATACTCATACACATCTAGGGATAAAGGTGCTGTCTGACTTTCCTGCCTCTGTAGATACCTTCATCAAGGACCTTGATTTTCCAGAGAAGATCTCCTGAGGGCCAGGTAAGTGCCAGATCTTGATGATTTGAACCCAGAGTGCCTCTGCTCCTGCTTCTCCAATGCAGTGAAGCTTGGGCACCTTTATGCAGAAGGATCCAGGAAGGGAAGCAAGTTTAAAGGTTTCAAATCATGTATTATAAGAGCAGGGATTGTCAACTTTTGTTGCTGATGTTGGTCTTTTTAAAATAAAGCCTCCCAGAATAGTAAAAGCCAAAAGAAAACCCATGCAGGTTTTATTCTAACATCTTTGCCAGTTCAATTTTGTCAGTGGGTGAAGCAATGCAGGGAAGGAGAGCAAACAGCAGAGAAAGGAAGAGGTATGGGACACACTTGTGGATGTTGTTATGAAAGTGAGGGTTTGGGTAGGGCTTGCTCCATCATGTGGGTGTTTAGTGTCTAATATATTTTAGGGTTGACATGACAGGTATTAATGTGATTTTATATACTAGACAATCTTGTACCTTTGATATTTGCAAGGCAAACAGAGCGTTCCCACTTCAAGAAGGAAATGTCCATTTCAAAATAGGGGTTTCAATTTTTAATTCAAAAATGTCAAGGGTCTTGTTTTCAACCAGTTATATTTGAGTGGTAAAATTAGAAATCTGACATTACATTGTTCCAGAATTCTATTTATCATTGTCTATTCTCCTGGCAACTTCAGGGGAGCCCTTCTTCCTGAGGAAAAGAACCTGTAAACTTGGTAACATCATTAGTTAGAAAGGGTTCATTTATGAGGAAACCATTGAGATGGGTGGTGAGTTAGGAAAGCAAATGGACAGGATAATCTGAAAGCCTACATTTTGTAGTATAGGTTTTTGTTGGGATACAGTTTGTCCTGAGTCTGCTGACCTCCAATTCTTCTGGACAGCTTTTTTGTTAACAAACTAGAATAGTGCCATAGGGATTTTTAATTACCATAATTATATTTTTCCAACATGAAAATGATGATGCTGTGTTATGATTGTCTTTTATTTTTAGAATATTATTGTAAGGGCTAGTTTATCTTGTACGCTACAGGGATAATTGTAATATTGTTGGAACTTAAATCTCATATGAATCCTGCTCCATCCCTTCCACAATGCAGGAATTGTCAACCACAACTTCTTTCCAAAAGTTTCTTTGCAAAACTCAGACTTTTTTCTTAGCTAGGTAGTTGTGGCATGGCACACATTTTACTTATGAGTAGACACCAACCATCAAATGCCATTAAGTAAGCAAGCACCTCATTATTGCAGGTGTTTCAAAACCTTCAGCATGCACAAATAACTGATTTTGCTATCCTTATCGGTGCTATCTTAAAGAAAAGAGGGACCCCCCCCCCCATAAATTGTGTGGTAAGAAATGTCACACAGTAGTAAAATGGCAGAAATTGATGTATTTCTGTAAAGCTTCTCATAATGATAATCTGGCCAGAAGTTTGTTCTGCGAAGGGTGACAAAGCAAGAAATAAACAGAGGCTAAGAATAGCAATTGAAGCAATGAGTTACAGCCTGATCCACAGACAGTAAAATATTGTGATGATTGCTGTAAGGGGGCAGATGTTAGAGAAAGTGGCCTTATTCAGGCATGCCCAGGTCCACTTCTGATTCTAGGAAGAAGAAAAGAGAGTGCATCTCAGGACAGTTTTGCTTCCTAGGGAAATTAGAATCCTCCCATTGTTTCTGCTGAATAGGAGCTGACTAAATACATGCCAGTCAAATGGGTTCTTTGACCAGCAATATTTGTTGAAGGCTCTTATTCCTGTCCCATGGGCAGCTTCTCCAAGCTGTGACCTAAAAGTGAAACTTAAGAAGCGAGTTACTGAGGAAAATGGGGGGCACCAGAGCAGTATACAGAGATTTCTACAAATATAATGGAGAGGATTCAGAATAACAGAATACAGAATAATAAGAGTTGGAAGGAACCTTGGAGCTTTTCGAGTTCAATCCCCTGCTCAGGCAGGATACCTATACCATTTCAGACAAACGGTTGTCCAATCTCTTCTTAAAAACCTCCAGTGATGAAGCACTGAAAACTTTTGGAGGCAAGTTGTTCCACTGATTAATTGTTCTAACTGTCAGGAAATTTCTCCTTAGTTTTAGGTTACTTCTTTCCTTGGTTAGTTTCCATCCATTGCTTCTTGTCCTGCCTTCGGGTCCTTTGGAGAATAGGTTGACCCCCCTTATTTATTTATTTATTTATTTATTTATTTATTTATTTATTTATTTATTTATTTAATTTTTATACCGCCCCCTCTCCCGAAGGACTCGGGGCGGTGAACAGCCAAAATTAAAAAACATACAATATGAACATTAAAATACTATAAAAACAAAATTAAATTTATATTGGCTTCCCCCAATTTAAAACCCCTTACCCATAAAATTCAGCAATTAAAAGATTTTTAACCCAGCCCAGCTTGCTGAAATAAAAAAGTCTTCAGAGCCCGGCGGAAGGTCCGGAGGTCCGGGATCAGTCGTATCCCTGGGGGTAGCTCATTCCAGAGGGCGGGTGCTCCCACAGAGAAGGCTCTTCCCCGGGGGGTCGCCAGCTGACATTACCTGACTGATGGCACCCTGAGGAGGCATTCTGCACCAGCTGGAGCCTCTGAGTGCTCCTCAAGGGGAGCCCCATGTAGAGAGCGTTGCAGTAGTCCAGGCGGGAAGTGATGAGGGAATGAGTGACTATGCATAAGGAGTCCCAATCCAGAAAGGGGCGCGACTGGCATATCAGGCGAACCTGATAGAAAGCCCCCTTGGCCACGGCCGTCATATGCTCTTCTAAAGACAGCCGTGCATCCAGGAGGACACCCAAGTTACGTGCCCTCTCCGTGGGGGCCAATGTCTCGCCCCCAATAGTCAGAGATGGCACCAGCTGACTATATTGGGACGCCAGCAACCACAACCACTGAGTCTTGGAGGGGTTCTTCTTTGTGGCAGCCCCTTAGACACTGCTATCATGTCACTCCTAGTCCTTCTTTTCATTAGATGAGACATGCCTAATTCCTGTAACCTTTCTTCATATATTTTATGAATCGAGGTCTTATTTCAAAATTGCCTTGCTGGGTAGATATGAGAGGAGGCCAGACTGGGACTGTAAAATTTCAGAAGACACCATCTGGCAACTCCCTAGTTATTAACCTGATTTTGGCAGCCCAGATTGGGGAGCTCTAGCCGATGCTGATTGTAGCTGGAGATCCAGCTTCAGAGCCCTCTTCAGATTTCAGAGCCCTCTTCAGAGTTGCCACTAACATGTATATCTGAGAACTATATATAGTTTTCCTGATATACTCACCCTTCCTTTTCCCTTTATCATAATCTGATATAACTGTTGTTTGTAACCATGGCTTTGCTAGGGCTGAAACATATTAGGGGGGAGGGAAATTGATGTATAATACTGAGAGTGTAGAGCACTTTTAGGGCTGAAATCTATGACTAGTTCCAAGCCATCTCCCCCAAACACCTACAGCCATAGGCTATTTTCTGCAACCGGTTGCAAAAATAAAAGTACTGTACAGTGGTGGGATCCTCCTGGTTTAACAACCGGTTCGGTGATTGCGCGATTTGTGTGCATGCAGTTTGAAGAAATCTTCACTTCCTGGTTTCTTTGGAGGAGTAACACAGCTGATTCGTGCAGCAATCCATTCTACCGTGCGAATCAGCTGAGAAGATAAAAAGTAGGAAAATAGCGCAGGTGGGCGGGTGGGCCCATCTGATTGTTGTGGCAAACCGGTTCGCTCCCAGCTGATCATCGGAGCTACTGGTTCGCCCAAACCGGTCAGAACCAGTAGAATCCCACTCCTGGTACTGTACACCTATTTCAGGGGAGCTGGAGGATTGCCTGGAAATTTTCAATGGGAGCCTTTCAACTTGCCTCCATTTCCCTTCAAGAGCCGTTGATTTCTTGCTTTCCCCCCAAATGCAGTAAACAAAAAGATCACCTTCTGGTCTAGATAATGTTGACCTTTGGGTTGTCAGTAATTGTTTGGTCCGAGATTTGCTTGCTTTTCAAGAAGTAATTTCACATTTTCCAAAACACTTGTATCTATGTAGGCGCTTGAGAAGATAGACAAAGGGAGATGGAGAGATATCTCCTCATGCTGTCTCATTGGATGACCTCTCTGTCTATTACTAGAGTTAGAAGACATATTATGCTTCCTGAACAGAACAGAATGTTACCATTTAAACCAGTTGTTACGTATTTTTGTGTGAAATCCAACAGAGCTCTTTTCCCTGTAAGTCCTCAAGCAAGACTCATATTGTTCATATAAGCTGTAGGGCAACTGCAGGACAGCTGCACGCTGGAGAAAGGCTTCATGCTGTCTAAACCAGGGGTCTCCAACCTTGACAACTTTACGACTTGTGGACTTCAACTCCCAGTGGAGTTGAAGTCCACAAGTCATAAAGTTGTCAAGGTTGGAGACCCCTGGTCTAAACAATTGTTTCCTGCAATACAGATAGTCCTTGAATTACTAACACAAGTGAGCCCAAAATTTCTGTTGGTCATCAAGAGTTGTTAAGTGAGTTTTGCTCCATTTTAAAACTTTCTAGCCACAGTGGTTAAGCGAATCACTGCAGTTGTTAAGTTAATAACACGGTTGTTAAGTGAATCTGGCTTCCCCGTTGGCTTTGTTTGAAGGTGATCCTGGAACACTGCAACCATCATAAATACACGTCAGTTGCCAAGCTGCCAAATTTTTATCACGTGACCATGGAGATGCTGCCACAGTCATAAGGGTGAAGAATGGTCATAAGTCACTTTTTTCAATGCTGTTTAACTTCAAACAGCCACTAAATAAATGGTTGTAAGTCGAGGACTGTCTGTATCATGTTCCACCTCTTTCCCCAAATGGGTGATGGAAGAATGCATGTTTACAGGTTTAGTAGTCAAGATCCTCACCCACTAGGCTTAGCAATGTGGGTTCCACCTGGTTCATCTCTAGCCACCTTTTAAGCAAGTAAACACCTGGGGACATCACACCTTGGAAAACAAGGATGAGGATGAGTTGCAGAAAACCAGATTGTTGA